AGTAGTGATGTAGTTGTTTGTCTTCTCAGCGATCCTTCTTACTCCTGTTTATGATCTTGTTCTACTCTAGAAACAATGTTATATGAGACTTGTATTTTTCTTTTGATTCTATTATAATACTTTAGAGGCTTGTACACGTGACAACCAGATTTTGGGGTATATTTGAGTTTATTATAAAAATTTCCGCATTTTATTGTAATGGTTGAGTTTTAGGCTGACTTGTCTTGGTGGGTTAAGACGAGTGTCATCACGTCCATTTTCGGGTCGTGACAGTAGTTCTGACAATCTTGTCTCTGTACATAGTTTTCCTTTATTTTAACATTAAACTTAGATGTACAGTATTAGCTCCCTGTAAGCCTGGCTGGTTTGTTCTTTTATAGATTTGGGAGTTTCTTCTGATTTTCTACCCCATTTCAGGAAAGAATTGATACAATAAAGTCAGAGCCAGATTTTCAATGCGAGTGTGGCCTCTTAAGTTTTTGAAGAAAAATATTGGGTTTTTACTGATGAACTATTCTATCATATGGGATTTTCAATGCGATTGTGGCTTCGATTCTTGCTAATTATAGCCTCATATTTTCATGATTGTGCTATTGAAGAATTGGAGAAAAAAAAGACAAGAGACCATGTATCAAGTTTGCAACTCTGTTTTTTCTAATTTTATTTTTTGCTTGGGTCTCTCAGAATTTGAGAATCATTAGGATCTTTGTTGATATGTAAAGATCCAAAGGAATGAAACCACTCAAGAAGAAGACACTGGTAACTTTACAGATAAGACAAAAGTCGGTAAACTAAATGAAAAAGACATGATTTGAAATAGAAGAATTCTTTGTAAAATAGGAGATACTTACACAGGATGTACTTAAAGGAAGCACAGGAAATTTTACAGGTAATTTCTCATTGAATTAGTTACCTTTTTCTAGGAGTTAAGAATTACGTCTATGTCTTCCGGAGAGAAAAAATCAGTAAATGAATATTACAAGATCTGCAGAGATCAGTGACATGTTGAATTGAGTTAAGGATGAAATAATCTATCTAGAAGAACAAGTGCTTAAATAGGGAAGTAAAGATTCAATTTAGAAAGACAGACTTATTAAAAAGAACTGGCTTCAGCAGTATCTGCCTGCCTGTGTGAAAGCTTTTTTCTGTGCTTATTCTTGTCCAACTTTTTTAAAGCTCGAAACTTCCTATGCTTAGTGAAGAAAGAACCAAGAGTCACTAAAATAAGCTCACTTATATTCATCTTCACATTTTATGTTTGCATATATCATGATATCTTAAATATAGTCTTCACTTTCCGCTTTTCTTAAATTCAATGCCATGTTGAGTAAATCCAAACATTTGTACACTCAGGCGAACAGGCTTCTGGAGAACTACGAGAAGTCCCTCATTAGGTTATCAGATGCTGTAGAGAAGGATCCTGCCCATGATGCGTCACATCAAGTGGAAATAACAGTTCAGCTTCTTGACAAATTAGAAGAATTAGTTCAGGTAAGATTATTTGATTGTGGTTATTTTATATGAAGCATCTGTTAGTGATATTCTGATCAGTTGCATTAGGGACGGCATGGTTGACGACATTAGAAATTTAGAATCATAAGGGAATTCTGTGTGATCAAAGGTGCATTGTTTCCAGTTATATTCAAAGTGCAGGCCAGTGATAACTATTTACAAGAGGTATTCAAGGAGTCGCACTCCTTGCGATTGCACATCTAACTTGTCAAACTCCCAACATGACATAGTGCAGTGCTTTGATGTGTTCACACTTACCTATGGAACTCTAACCTGTTTAAACGATGATTTCATCACCACGGAAAGCTTTCTGTTTCCTGATATAACATAATGTATGATGAGGTAGTCCTTTTGGTAACATTGTACTAATGATAGCTAGGGGGACAGATGTAACATGAAATTTGATTTTATGGTATGACAGGAAAACACCAAAAAATAGTCATGCTTTCTAAAATTGACTTAATGTGTAAGTTTGAGGTGCAGTTGATTGATTGATTTTGGGAATATTGCTAAACAAGTAGAGGCTAGGGAATTGCAATAGGAAGCTATGAATATGTGGAATTAAGAGCTATTTGGATAGGAATATTCAAGTTGGTAATACAATTGATCAACTTGGTAACTATCCTATGGCTGCCCCAGAAAGCTCGGTTCAGTTTCTCCTACTTTTTCTGAATTCTTTTCACTTACTACTACATATAAATAATATTAACAAAAAGTAAAGGAAAATTTATTACTACATACAAAATAGTTGCAGAAGGTCTCAAGGAGGTATCCATTTGGAAAAAATTTCTAACTGTTAAGCATAAGACATATCTAGAAGAAAACAAGATGAGGTAATGAAACATGGTGCCTTCTTCTGCTTTCATTTCTTGATTTTTTTTCAAGAAACATGAATGTTATGATATAGTCTTCTAAAAAATAATGCCTTAAATTCTTAGTTTTTAAATGTTTTCTTCTTTTGAGTCGTTAAGAGATTATGAATGACATTGTGAAGGATGCATTTAAATTATATGATCCTGCTTTTCAGGGTAAGAGTAATGAAAATAGAAAGGGGAAGAGTAAGGCAAAGAGTAAAGGAAAGGGCAAGAGAAAGAGTAAGGGAAAGAGTACGGAGACAAGCTTTGCTTCCCTGATCCAGTCACTTGATGATATTGATTGTAAGGCTTTACATTATTCATAATTTAACTATAAACATTGATTTATCTATTTATCTATTTAGTTGAGGTAATGTGTTTTCTGGCAGTGGATCCTTCCTACAACAAAGCAACCTTGGATGTCTTAGCTGAAGGCCCTAACAAAGGGCTTGCAGTTATGGGAGTAGTCCGGTGCTTGGTTAAGTATGAGTATGGTGTTCCATTGTAAGTTGCTTCATCTAGAAGAATCAATGATCATTTTGAG